ATCCTTTGAGCACTGAGTGGTTTGGTGATTCAAAGGCCCCATGTGTGAAATCTATTGAAATCATAATGAAAAAATGTGTCTCTTTAGCGCCACATAGTTCAGAGAACCGATACGTTGGGACCAGATCAGGACTTGCTGGCGTCCAGCTAATAAGGGGTGGGGATCTGAACAAATGCAGCTTCCTTGTGTTGGACTTGATGTCAAACTGTCCAATTTTATGTGTCTTTTGATTTAAGTACAGCAACAATGTAGCTATTTTTAGTTGAATTAGCAGACTTCATGATGCCAGGACGCACTGCTGCCCTCTGCTGGTTCTTTCAGGTTACAGTCATAGTCCAAACGGGTAACGTGGAGCTCGTATGTCCCTTAACAGCTTCTGTATTGTAAGATGGTGGATGACCATGGAGCCTCGACCACAGTTTAGCCATTTAAAAATGTATAATTTCAAGTTGCGAGGAATATTTAGAATTGATGTTGGTGAGAAATATTAGTGAAAAAGGACAAGTTTGTGAACTGGAAACACAGGATTTGATCGTAAGCTGGTAAAAATATCACACACTGTGGTTTTAAGTAGAGAGGCAGCACAGCACTCTGCAGATTTTTAAGAGAACCTTAAATGTTTTTTGAAATTGTTAATCTTTCTAGGTTTACAGTTTTTACTGACATCTCTTTTGAGGAGGGTTTGTCTCAGAGTAATAATGGCCGAGTTACAGGAAATGTTTACAGAAACACTAGAGGCACTTCTGGAAAAAAATTAAACGTAGACTGGAGTACACACATACCACTGATGAACGAGAACCTCATTTAATGGCATTTGGAGAATGGTGTGAATAGTTGCAGACAGAAGGAATTTTGGAGATTTAGAGAGCCCCCCGCCATCGAAGGCGAATAATATATCTTGAAACTGAGCAACCGACTTGCCTTGGCTCAGAAAAATACACGAAAGCAGGAATTTCAAGTAGAAGCAAATTGAAGAATGGACATACCTTTGAGGATAACCTGAAACGAACTAGATTTTTCTTTAATAATTGTTTCCCTGATACAGATGCAAAGCAAGCGGAAGAGGGAGAAGGGGGGAATGACCACATCTGCTTCTTGGTTTTTGGAAAAGCAAGAGCGAGAAGATGGGGATGCTTGTATAAAAAAAACTTGCCCACGGATAAAAATAAAGAGGCTGACAGTGCTAAGTCAGAGCAAGAGCAGGACACCAAGTTTTATCATGACCTATCGTATCCAACTACATTGTCCCCTCATGATCCCTTGATCAGACCTTTAAGGACTGGGAGGAGATGGGTATAAAGTCTTTTAGAAATGTATTTATCAATGACAACCCGGCCTCCTTTGATCAGCTTTCAAATAAATTTAGGATCCCTAGAACACATTTTTTCAGATACCTGCACATTCAGCATTTTCTCAAAGGTCAGAAAACCAGATTTCACTTTGGCTCCTCAGAGTTCTATAATAGATGCCATTCTTTGTTTGCAGCCTAAAGGTTGGTTTATGCTTGACGCGTCCGCGAGGTCCGCACGGCTCCGCACTGAAAAGTTGCGTCATTTTAACATCCACGCCCCTCCACCGCGCCTCCGCACGGCCCAGAATTTCTGCAACGAGCACCTCGGAAAATTTCTAACCACGCGGACAGTCGGACGCGGAAAAACATGGCGGACCTGCAAGAACTAGTATGGCAGAGGTTCGTAAATACAGACATTTGTATGATTCAGCTCTCAGAGATCACCGTGATCAACATGTTGTTAATAATTCTTGGAGAGAAATAGCTCGCACTGTCGGAAAAGACGAGGACGCTGTTAAAAATGCTGGAATGCCATGTTGTAAACAGTAATTTCTACTTCTACTATGGTGTAGTGTTGGATGCATGCCGTAGAGCTCCATGCTGCCCCCTACAGTTTGGGAGAATATTGGCTCACCGCAGAGACAAGCCGCATGAACCATAAACGCTGCGAGTTGTGAAGCGCGTTCCATCCGCGAGCCGCATCACCAAGCGGAAAGTAAATGCGTCAAGCATAAACCAAGCTTTAAGAGGTCCGATCTAGAAAATCTACAACAAGTTGATGAATTTAAAACATCTACAGCTAAGATCAGGGCAGCCTGGGAGCAAGACCTGAAACTAAAACTACCAGACAACACTTGGGACTCAATCCTGGAGCTTGTTAACTCTACTTCAATATGCTCCTGATATTCTCTATTACAGTTTAAGGTGGCCCATTGGGCCCACATGCCTCAGACCAAATGGATCTGTATATATATTCAGATTTTAACTCCCAATGCGACTAATGCAGAAAAGGTGCTGCTCAGATGGAGGGGTGTTGCCCTGCCAACCCATGCTAAGTGGGTGGTGGATGTGATGTCTTGTTTGAACCTGGAAAAGATTAGATACTCCATCCAAAACCAAGAGGGGAGATTTGAGAAGGTTTGGGGACTCCTTGTTGGCCACTTTTCTCTCCCCCATGACCCTACTTGCATTGACCTACTTTCATCTCTTTAATCTCCTTTTCCCCATAACTTAGCACTAATGTAATTGAAGGGGGGACTTGGCAACCAGCTGTACAATAATATAAACTTCTTACATTATTGAGGATTCACTACCAGTGTCAGTGTATACTTGCCCCTTTTTTTCCTTCTTTTGCCAGTAATGCCCTCAGATTAAGTCACATTTTTTTAATTATTTCTTTATTCATTTAGATCTTTTGTTTTTTATGTTGTCTTTGTTATCTAAGGGGTGTTTTTTTATTTTATTTTACAAATACTCCACAAGGAACTTATGCTTACCAATACTTTTTGTATTTCACATTGTTTAAATCTGCTCTGTATACGGTTAATCCCCACTATCTGAAACGTCAATAAAAAGATTTGTGATAAAAAAAATAGAAAATAAATATGATCAACTATTGTAAAGGCAAAAAAAAAGGGAAAAAAATTAAAGAAAAAAACCTTTTTTGATTAGTTGACTTACTGAAATTTGCCCCCGAAGTCGCTGCCGGCTTCTGTTCTGCGATCCTTTTGAAAATACTGCGGTGTATTCTGGGTACTCTTTGACCAAGGCTAGGTTACAAGACACCTCCTGTGTATCCTTGCTCAGGTACAACATCAGATTTAAGTCTACAAAAATAAACCTTCCCCATTTTTTTTCTTTTTAAAACCACATTTACATTGCTAATAGGTCCTATTGTTCAGTTCTGCAACACTATTGGCTGTTAAAATGTGTAAATAGGCCCGTTTATCTGGCCTCCTAGAACAACATGTGAAAGGTTAAAAAAAGATTTTGCAGTTGTTTTCTAAATTTGGGTTTCTGGGGGTTAACGGCTAACAAACGGAGAAGACACGCCTCGGTAGAACATGAACATTGGAATACGTCTTGATGGCTCCTGATGACGTATCTCCTAGGCAACCGGGGCGAAGCCAAGACATCAAGGCAAGGTTCCTTGGCATTGTGAAACACCCTAAAACTAAAATGCCCACCAAACACACTGGCTGTCACAATGACATTGTGAACCTGTGTGTGTGTGTATCTAACGGCTCTGCCCTCTTGATCTGCCAGGCAACAGCATTCGTTTAAGTTTTGAAACAGGAAGTGGAGTAATACTCTGGTAAGGAGTGACTTGCTCTTTAAAGATTTTTAGGGGACAGAACATCAGAAGGAGATCCAGATGGCTTCAGCTGAGCGACCAACTTTTGATGAGCTGAGATTTGGACAGTCTTAATATTGTCAGCGTGGCCCGGGGCGGCACTGGGAGCACAGAAACAAGAGCAGAATCCACAATAGCAGTCAAATAGTCACGACTAGGAATGAGACTATATTCTAGAAAGTTTTCATAAATAAGCACACAACTTAGATCTGTAGCTCATGATTAAAACCATCCACTCCAATTGTGCGTGTGTGTGTGTGTGTGTGTGTGTGTGTGTGTCCGCCCCAGTGTTGCCAGATCCAAAATCCCACAATATCGTACAGAGAGGCCTAAATTATCGTTTTTCAGTACAAATTATCGTACATTATAAATTTGATAATAACGTTCTATAAACAACTTCTCACTCCAATATAATATAACAAAGAAGGTGTTTTATATAACCTTACAGTTTCTCGCGAGAGTAGGCCCTATCGATGTGATTGGGCTATTTATTGTACAGATCCAGAGTCAGTTTTTGTAATAGACACAATAGCATAAACCTGTAAGCACTGAGGTGAAATCTGACTTCAGAACAGTTTAAAATTATGTAATTGACTTGGGAAAGCCACAGCAAAAGACGGTGTTACTAGATGCAATGTGAAATTATCGTACATTTGAGGGTTTTTGAAACTATCGATCATACATCGTACAGAGCCCAAAATTATGGTACAAATACGATAATTATCGTACATCTGGCAACACTGGTCCGCCCCGTCTGTTGGTTTTGTGTGTAGAGAGTGGCGGGTGCTCTGTGTGACTGACCAATCACAAAGCTTGAAGACAGTCAGTTACCCAATGAGGATTCTACTTCAGCACGATTACAGATATTCACGGGTTTTACGCTCATACTCGTCAAAAATGTTTCATCAATACCAGATACTCGACTGACGCAAGTATCCAGCTCAACCCTAGTCATGACTTTGTCAATGAAAGGATGGAGGAAGTCATTGCAGTTCTTACTATTGGGGCAAAGTATCCAAAAAATGCAGTACTGAATTCACTACCTTAAAAAGCGCGCGTGGATCATAAAGAGTTTGCTGCCACAAAATGAGCACAGAATTTATTCGTGGCTTGCCTAAAAACTTCCTGGTAGTTGAACAGTGACTGTAAATCATGAGACTTGGAGTCTGCCCCGTTTCCATTTCCTTTCTGCCCTCCCGCAGGCCCGAGTATCACAGAGACAAGATTCTGCCCTGCACCTTGGTTTTCTGATCTTAAGAGGTGAAATCTCATCTACAATATTAATCAAACCAGTTCATTGTTGCAACCTCAGTTAAATGCTTCGTGATCGTTAGATGAGAAGTGTGCCCGTCTTACTTTGAAGATAGTCCAGCAGGCTGCCGTTCTTCATCAGCTCGGTGATTATGTAGATGGGTTCCTCGGTAGTGCAGACGGCGTACAGCTGGATCAGCTTCGGGTGACGCAGCTTCTTCATCAGCTGAGCCTCTCTAAGGAAGTCTGAGGTGTCCATTGTTCCTGGAGCAACGTTTACAGAACCAGTCAAGCTAGCTACATGGTTGAAAGGGTCAACAGGCACGCCTCCTGCTGCTCATGCATCATGTTAAAAAAAAAATCAGCAAGTAATGCATGAGTTCACAATAGAATAACATTTTCATATATAAAATAGATTCTTAAATCATGCAAAAATCAGCTATTGCAAACATGTATTTGGTGTGAGTTGTTCATTAGAAACCGCAACAGTTCCTGCAGACTTTCTAGGAGATGTTGTAGAGTCACAGCAGACACCCGGTTGATCTCCTGCTCACTCTTATGAACAAGGCTGGTATACTCTTCCACTTGAGGTAGGACCTCTCCTCTGACCCTGAAGAGACAATCCACCCTTTTCCATTTGAGAACCATGGCCTTGGAATCCGGGATGCTTATCCTCATCTCAGCTGCTTCACACTTGCCTCCAAACCTCCTTAGCTTGAGCTAAAGTTCATAGTCTGATGAAGCCAAGAAGACCACATGGTAAAATGTTGAAGTCTATTTGTGCTGCAACTTCTCTACTTTTACAATCTCCCAAACATTCACTGATGAGCTGATGGTAATAAGCCTCATCGAAGCCACAGTTGCCCTGGGGCACACCTATGGAAGTAATGCTGCAGTACACAGGCACCACCAGTCCCTCTGACTACAACCAGCAGTGTCATGCCCAAGGGCACAACTGTGATAAACATTGCAACTCCGTAAAAACTTGATGTATTTGAAACTTGTTAAGTACTTATGCTTCATTATGTCACATCAACAACTGACCAAAGGACTTAAAAACACTGAAGTTCTTCTATATGAAATCCAATAGGCTCAAAACCTTGGCCATAGCAGCAGAAGAGAGTCCATGTTCATCAGCTCAGCACCCTCCAGGACCCAGCGCTCCTATTTATACGTCATTTTCGATGTTTAAATCTTGAGCAGCAAGTTGATGCTATGGTCCAAGCATCCCAGCGATGGGGCCAGGTCTGGATATGCAAGCAAGCGAGATGTTAACTTAAGGAAAATCCAACAAGTTATCCTTCTGGTGGGGTTTGAAACCAAGGGGTCACCTCCAAATCCAGACCTGCTCCCGCCAAGGAAGTGCAAAGTCAGACTGCCGTGAAGAATGAACACACACACACAAACACACACACGCACGCTCGCTCACTTGCAAGAACCACACAGCAGTCAGTAGCCCGCCGTCAATTTGCCGCAACGCCGTGGCGGCATCAGGGACCCTAAAGGTCGTTTACAAGATCAGACCGTGGCGGTAATGTGGCGCAATCGTGGCAATTTTATAAAAGATTAGGTGATGGCGGCATAAAGGGGCATGGGGGCGGTCTCTAAGCTGCCGCAGACTTCCGTTTATCTTGGACATAACTTGCTTTTTATTGCGATTGAAGCCGTGATCGTTAAGTTTTTTTTTAACAAGCAGCTCCTGAAGGTGTCTGTCCCCATCAGTCCCGGTGCAGTCTCTGGTGATCCGAGCTTCAGATCTAACAGAGGCTCGTGGAGTGCTGCGGCGCTCCAGTCAGCTGATTTTATTCAAAAACCAAACCTTATTGCCCGTGTTTACTTTCATTTTCAATTCATTTGCCAGCCGGAGCTCAGCGACAACTCCCCACGTCATCATGGCATCTGCCTCTGTTGCGCCAGGGCGCATACGACAGACCATTACCACAATATTACTACCAAGTGTTACGGCCGCCGCCGTTTTGGAGCCCCGACGTGGAACGAATGCAGCAAAATTCGCGCAACGCCACGCCAGCACGGCGCGTTTATAGACATACCCTTGCGGTAATATTATGCCGATTTGCCGGCATGGTGTGTCTTGTAAAAAGGGCAAGTGAGAGCAGGAAACAATACCAGTCTTCAAATGCAGTACTGCTAATGGCAGCCTTTGTTTAAAAGTTTATGACACCACAGTTATCTCCACGCATATTTTTAAACGCCCATGTGATTTCCACATTTCTAAAGCTGGATTTATACTTCTCCGTCAGCTCCAAGAGGGAGAGACATGCACGGACGGACGGAGACATTTGGCTCTCATACTTCTCCGTCTCCTGGAGAGTGTTGCAAAGCCATTCCCGGCCAGGACCACAGAGGGCGTAGCACTGTTCTGTGGTATCCTGTCATGTATCGGTCCAAGATAGTGTGTTTATATTGTGTTTTTTGTATATAAGAGACTTTAACAGACAAATTTGTCCCTCATTCTCCTCCACCTCTTCATGCGCTCGCCACCTCTAAACCCACGTTTCCTGTCATTTCCGTCCACAAATAAAACGCTTTCTGTGCATCTTTTCACTCCTCCAGTCACGGGTGAATTAAACGTTCATGTTTTTAGAGTTTTTTGCAAAGTTTTCTTCAAGCTTCTCCGTGTCTGCCGCTAGTTATCCTCGGCTCTCTATGTTTTTGAGGGCACAATTGCGGCGGTGTAGACGACAGCGGCGCCCTGACCAATCACAAGCTTGCGTTCTTCGTCTCGACGGACGGATGTTTAGAAAAGAGAACTAGACTCTGTCCGTCCTTGCGAATAATGGCGTTGCGTGTCTCCGCACTGACGCAGATGCAGAAGCATGACCCAGGCTTTACGCGACTGAGCAGACATCACCAAGCTCGGACTGGGCCGACCCAGATGTGAATGCACCGTTACATGGTACATAGCGTGACATCAGTGAGTTTGCAACTTTCACTGTCCTTGTTGTAAAGTATGTTCCCAATTTCCTGTTGTCAGTCACACTAAGGCCGTCCCCTACTGACCAACAGACTGCTGCAGCACCTCTGTCGCAGCCAATCACATTTGAACTTCCCGCTGAAGTTAACCTGACAGAAAAGGTTTCTTTTCTTTATTCCATCATGAGCAGACATTTGACAAGATTCACTTCCTGTCAGTTCCTTATTCACATCACCTCTACTTAACCCCATTTTAAACAAAAATGTTATTGCAGAACACATCTGAACTAAGCCAACTGCTTAGAAAGAGCAACTCCACCTGTAAGTTATGTCAGACATTGACTTGGAACAAAGTCTTTTAAAGACACCAATTAATCCAAAAAATATTTTCTTTACACATCCTTTGCATCACTGGATTATCATAATCTGATTATTATTGTGTACCAGGTTTGAGGGTCTTCACGGCTACTGATGTGGTGCCATTCCACAGTCCTTGATAGACTTCCCCAAACTGTCCAGTTCCCAACTTCTTCGATAGTTGGATAGACTTGCGGTCAATCTCCCAAATGTCAACTGTGTTGTAGGACAGACCATAAGTCTCTGGAGCCATTATCTGCCCCTGCATAAACCAAATGCATAAAGTAATGTTGATAACACACCAACAACCTGAAACAATACAAAGGTTTAATGCAGGTTTACCTTTTTGCATGGCTCAGTGAGACGCACACAGAGTCCTTCAGCTTGTCTAGAGTAATATTCAACTAACTCCTTTAGTGTTGGAAATGACTTGAGCTTTGATATGTAGTAGTGACCATTGTCCAGTTTAGGTATCTTGTAATGCTTCACCGTCCCTTGGTCCAACACTGAAAGAGAACAGAAATGCTTCTAAATTATCCGATAAAATATTACTGCACTTAATGGTGAAACGTCTGTTTTGACAGTTACATGAGCATCGGTGCCTTGCTCCATGTCAAATCGTAAGGACAGAGGTTGCAGTTTTACAGACTTGGATCAGGATTGGACGGTTTATGGGTGGATTTATTTTTGGCATCTATCTGATTGATCCCGGTGGCTGCCTGGTGGGATCTGAGGCCTAGTCCACACGTAGCCGGGTTTTTAAAAAAACGAATATCCGCCCCTCCAAAAACTTGCATCCACACCACCTCGTTTAAAAAAAAAAAAAAACTCTCCACACGTACCCGGATAAATACGTTGTTAAGGACATGCCAGACCTGTAGGCGGCAGTACTTCCCCGTTCTTAACCTCGTCCTTCGTCTGTGGTCTTCCTCTAGGAGCAGTAATTCCGCTTGCAGACACAAACAAGCAAAAAGCGCTTGGACAATTGATGGATCGGGTAGTGACAGAGCGCAGCTCTGAGGGCGTCCATGCTGAAGGCTAGTGTAAACACAGGTCGCACACGTGATGTCAGCATTTGTTTGTCGCGGAAAGTGACATTGCGGACCTTAAAACTCCGGTTTTGTCTGTCCACACGCAGACACCCAAAACGGAGAAAACGCAGATCTTCACTTTGGCCGGAGTTTTTAAAAAGATCCGTTTTTGTGTGGATGACAGGCCAAAACGTAGAAAAATATCTACGTTTTGGCAGATCCCCGGCTACGTTTGGACAGGGCCTGAGTCTCTGGGCTCTGTTGAGTACCCGGCGGGGCCCCGGGTAGCTGGGTTCCGGGCTCGGCCGGCTTGGGAGTGAGAGGCTGCAGGCGGGCCTGTGGGTTTGCCGCTGTCATCTCCAGGGGCTCTGCCGGCTGCTGGTTGACTACAGCGTTACGCGGTACAGTCTGCATTTCCATCTTTTTTTCTGATTGGTTATTTTTGAGCTGCCAAGTCCCACCCCTCAAGTGCCTCTCTACCTGCAAGTGCCCAGACTCTCTGAGCAGGATTAAGCAGAGGACGAGTCTGGCAGGCCAGGCTATTCTTTCAGCTCTGTCTCTGGACGGAATTAAAATGCATCCAAAAAAAATAACAATAAAGTTTTAAGCATCAGGCGTGACATTAAAGCAGAAGCTGTTATGCTCCACCTGAGAGTAAATCTGTAAGGCTTGTCACCAGCATTCAGACATCAATTCTGTTTGCTCCACAACCAGACAGGCCATGAGGAAAATAAATAAATAAATAAAGCTTGCTGATGACACTTCTCCACGTTAAAAAGTCAACGTGCTTCTTCCAGTGCTGCTTCTCAAACGTTCATGTATGAAGTTCTCCCTAGGCTGGTAATCCGTGAAGAAATCACTCCATATTGGTGTGCCCCAAGCTTAGGCCCCACAGCCCGTTCCTGTGTGTGTGCCCAACTGCCCTCTGTCCAGGAAGCAGGACCAGGAAAAATGCAGTGAACATTGTCCAAAACCCCACACATCCTGCTTCTACTCTCCTCATTCTCCTTCCATCTGGCAGGCGCTATAGATCGCTGCACACAAAAACTACCAGACACAAGAAAAGCTCAATTCCCTCTGCCACTCTCCTGAATCGGTCCATTATTTTCACTGTTCTTTTTAATACATCTTTTTACTGCAAACATTTTTATGTTTTAGAGAGCTAACATCTACCAAAGCCAAATTCCTTGTTAATGAAATTTTACTTGGCCAATAAATCTGAAATTTGAATTTGAGCAGGTAGCGTGCACCCGAGTATGAAGCTCAGCACTGCCCCCATCAGTAAGGCGGGGTACTGCCTGCCCCCCCTTTCATTTTATCTGCATTTATGGCTGCTCAGAAAGACTAGTAAAACATGTATGTTGGCGATAAATAAAGAGATAGTGGGTATGCACCAGCTTCCCGTTTCAGCTAGTGTGCAGCGCTGCGCAGTGAGAACGGAAGCAGTGCTCATCTCCGCCTCCCTTCGTGCTTCCGTTTATTCAGTTAACATGTAAATATGACTATATTGAAATCATACAGAAACTAGTGTATAGACCAGTCAGCAGACAAATCGATTTTCTATAATAGCATTTTTAGTATTTTACACCGAACAAAAAATATAAACGCGACACTTTAGTTTTTGCTCTCATTTTTCATGAGCTAAACTCAATCAGAAACTTTTTCTACATACACAAAACACCCATGACTCAAATATTGTTCTGAAATCTGTCTACGTGTGTTACTGAGCACTTTTCCTTTACCAAGATCATCCATCCCACCTCACAGGTGTGGCATTTCAAAGGGCTGATTAGGCAGCATGAATAATGTACAGGTGTGCCTTAGATTGCCCACAATAAAAGGCCACCCTGAAATGTGCAGTTTGATCAAACAGCGCAATGCCACAGATGTCACAACCTTTGAGGGAGTGGGCGATTGGCATGCTGACTGCAGGAATGTCGACCAGAGCTGTTGCCCGTAAAATGAATGTTCATTTCTCTACCATAAGTCATCTCCAAAGGTGTTTCAGAGAATTAGGCAGTACATCCAACTGGCCTCAGAACCACAGAACACATGTGACCACACCAGCCCAGGACATTCACATCCAGCATGTTCATCTCCAGGATTGCCTGAGACCAGCCACCTGGATAGCTGCAGAGACGATTGGTTAGCATAACCAGAGAATTTCTGCACAAGCTGTCAGAAGCCATCTCAGGGAAGCTCATCTACATGCTCATCGTCCTCATCGAAGTCTGGACCTGATTGTAGTCCATTGTCATAACTGATTTGAGTGGGCAAACACTCACATTCAATGGTGTTTGGCATGTTGGAGAGGTATTCTGTTCACAGACGAGTCCCTGTTTTCACTGTTTAGAGCAGATGGCAGACTGCATGTGTGGGTGAGCGGTTTGCTGATGTCAACGTTGTGGAACGAGTAGCCCATGGTGGCGGTGGGGTACTGGTACGGGCAGACATATGTTATGGACCACATTTTATTGATGGCCTTTTGAATGCACAGAAGTACCATGACAAGATCCTGAGGTACACCGTTATGTCATCCATTCATCCACCTTCATCCACCGCCAGCACCTCATGTTGCAGCATGATAACAAACGGCCCCATTTTACAAGGATCTGTACACATTTCTGGAAGCTAAAAACATCCCAGTTCTTGCATGGCCAGCATACTCACCAGACATGTCACCCATTTGGGATGCTCTGGATCAGTGTATACGACAACGTGTTCCAGTTCCTGCCAATATTAAGCTACTTCTCATAGCTATTGAGGAGTGGACCAACATCCCATAGGACACAATCAACAACCGGATCAACTCTATGCGACGGAGATGTGTTGCTCTGCATGGGGCAAACGGTGGCCACATCAGTTATTGGTTTTCTGCCCCACCACCCCCCATAAAGCAAAACCGAGCACATTTCAGAGTGGCCTTTTGTTGTGGGCAGTCTAAGGCACACCTGTACATTATTCATGCTGTCTAATCAGCTCCTTGATATGCCAAACCTGTGAGGTGGGATGGATTATCTTGGTAAAGGAAAAGTGCTCACTAGCACGCATCTAGACAGATTTCAGAACAATAATTGTGTCATGGGTCGTTTGTGTATAGAGACAAATTTTCAGATGTTTGAGTTCAACTCATGAAAAATGGGAGCAAAACCAAAAATGTTGCATTCATATATTTGTTCAGTGTACTTCACGATGGCAGTGACTTCCCTGCCTTCTCTGACTGCATCAATGCTGGGGGTCACAGGAACCAGACTGGTGGACTCGATCTGTTAACAGTTGCCGCTTCCTTTGCTCACCTGAGAGAGAGAGCTCTCCTTTCCGACCTTCGGAGTTTCTGATGAGGAAAGCACCAGACTGGTTCCACTTAGCCAACAGCATCTTCTCTGCATCCAGCCTTTTGGTGTCCGAAAAATACCACCTGCATTTCAAAATTCATTCATTTAATGTAATGTGGTTTAAAGAAATACAAGGAGAAAAAAAATGCACCAGCAACCAGAATAAAACACCTTATGCAGCTTTATGCAGCAGTTTAACAGCCAACCATTTAGTCCCCAAGTGTTTAACACACAGCATCTTTTAATACGGAAGAAAATCCGATTAAAATCATTCAAGCCAAGTTTGCTCAAAAGCCTCACAAACCAGGCGACTATGGATTTTGAACTCCAGTTTGTTCCATGAGCGGGGGGATTTCAGAAAGCGAGATCAGAACATCAGGGATCTCCTGATAAATACCTGCTTGACAACGCGCTCTCCTTCTCTCCCAGTTGGGCCAGCTCCACGAAAGATTCTCAGGTTGATTCAATCCCCTCTTACCCCCAAATTCCACTACCTCCGCTCCGCTCCGACACGAACGCCGGAACAAAATCGGTCCCGTTGTAGTCAATCAGAGCAATTCCACTACTGCGGCCGTGCTCCGGCAGTGCGGCGCCGTGCGCTGCCCTCTGTTCCGGCGTCCGGCAAAAATAGAATCGATCCTATTTTCGCCGGACGCCGGAGCACCTCCGCAGTAAATGGACAGAAATAACAACTGCCCAACAGGAAAAGGAGCAAGCACAACTTCCGTTTTTCACAATAAATCGATAAACAAAAGGCGTTTTTTGTTTCATATGCACAGGTTTAACAACTTTTAACAACTATCAATGGCGGCTGAAGTTTAAATGCACAAAAGTAAGCCATAAATACAGTTTCCACTATCAAAGTAGTCACACTTTGTTGATCCAAACACTGCTGATCTCTCAACACACATGATGGGCAGATTCAACAGTTCATGCCGATGCTTCTCCCACACAACGGGTGTTTGGATCTAACTTCCGCGTTTATTGCTCGGACTGTATCGCAAGATCTCTAATATCCCGCGCATGCTTGTTTGCGCACCTCAGGTCTCCGCACCGGAGCGGAGCCGTTGTAGAGCGGAAGCGAGCGGCTGCAGAAGGCGGGGGCGGACCGCAGCGGAGGTAGTGGAATTTGGGGGTAATCCATGCAAGGTGGGGCAAGCTAGGACAATGTGTGTCCAAAGGCAGCCCCTGTTAATCAATGCTAGATAAATGAGAATAGAAGGACAGAGCCTCGATCTTCATTCAGACGGAGTAATAATTAATTGTTCATTCATGCCTATGAGGACTACAAAGATATCAGAACTAAATAATAAGAGCATGAGCCATTTGATTGAAGCTGTGAAGCCGGCGCTATTGAGTCAGAACGCGCAGCGTTTACATGTTTCCATGGGTATGCTTCAGCCCGTTTTTCCGCATATTTTATTCAAGTTCATCATTTGTGTCGTTTTCATGTTCGGTTCCAGAGTCTGGATGTTTGGACACTGAAGGACTTTGTTTTCGCTGAGCAGCAGTGAGTTTTAAGACTATACGTTTGTGGAGGTCATGTGACCCTAAAGTTAGCTCTGGAAACTGCATGTTAATTACATGGGTCCATCCCAGACAAAAGTTAATAATTATACATATTAAAAATGCTGAAATCAGGAGCATCAGTGGAATTAAATGCTCGTAGCTTCTAGGGGCTGCACGACTTAATTTTCATTAAAGTCGACTGTCAAGTAATCAAAATAGAGTTGACTTTGACTAGTGGTTGATGACGTCATACACCTGAAGCGCCGCGGGGGGGGGGGGGGGGGGGGGGGGGTCGCTGGAGTTTGACAATTAAAATTGCGCCCACATTTTCAAAGTTAAACACATCTTTTAACAGCGGTAGTTTCTGCATCTATACTGCTCCACTTCAGCTCGCTCCCCCCTCCCCATGCGCAGTGCACCTGCAGCCTCTCGGAGTTCCTGCTGCTCTAAACATTAAAATAATTATTTCATTTTCTGTTCCTCACTTCTGATTACCTTCAATGGTGTCTGTTTGTTGCAACCAGCAGGTACAAAAACTAACTTGTTTTTATTTGACTATTTTTCTGTCCTGCCTGTTTATTATCTTCCTGCATCTCCTCTCAGTCCTAAAGAGAAACTGCTACCTGGGTTCATATATATTCACCTCATGAGTTACCTTTGAACTGCAGTTCTAAAAGATCTACCGACCGCAAAAACAGCGGAGTGCGCGCTGCTCGCCGACCGCATCAGTGAGGTGAAGTTATTGGAGGACAAAACAGGTGATGCGCCCCGCTACACAGCAGGGAAACGCATCAGGCACAAATAAAAGACAGAAAACATCAAAGGAAATGAGCCGACATGAACGATCGCGTGTTAAATTAGTTTTTGAGGTGGCGACACCTGATTTGATGTTACTGTGGCCGTGCTCAGGACGCAGACGTCTCGAGCGCGTCAACGTTCAGAGCTTTGCATGCGCAAGCTGGTTAAGGTTAGGATGGGGGTGAGGGGAAGGTTAAATTGCAAGAGGGTAAAGGTCACAATTTGGTTAAATGTCTGTTTTACGGCGGGCGTCAGTACCGACGCTCTGGCACAGCGCGTTGCCTCCTGATGCACAGCTCGTCACCTGCTGTCTTTTCCGAGGACTGCATCTTGTCGCTCATTATCACGTGACAGCGACTAGTCGCTGAAAGGCATAAAAAGTCACTACAGAGCAGTGAAGTCGACTAGTCGACTAGTTCATACAACCCCTACTAGCTGCAAATGAAGATCAAATACAACATTTTTAAGGTAATCCTTCTCACATATAAAGCTCTTAATAATCAAGCTCCATCATACATCAGTGACCTGATTGTTCCACAGTTCCTAACCGAGCACTTCGCTCTCAGACTGCCGGTTTCCTGGTGGTTCCCAGAATATCCAAAAAAATAGGATGGGAGGCAGATCCTTTAGCTATCAGGCTCCTCTCTTGTGGAACCAACTCTCAGCTTTAGCCCATTAGACAGACACCTCATCTATTTGTAAGAATAGGCTTAAAACTTTGCTCTTTAACTGTATTATTTCCTGCTATTTCAGCTGTTAACTTTATTTTCTCTCTAAGTGTTTTTCTCCCCAGAAGAAGCTACAACGATGTTCTGCTGAGCTGTGGTGGCCTCATGGAGGGGGCCATCAGCTAGCACACTGCTGCTAACCACTTAAACATTCTCCCTCTCCTGATAATAACTTTTTACTCTCTTTGACATTGAATGTGCTACTACTAGTTTACCCGTTTAATTATAGATTCACTAGGATAAATACAATAAAGTTTATCTCTCACCAAATCACAATGTAACCATAGACACATTACTTTGTGTGTGTGTGTGTGTGTGTGTGTGTGTGTGTGTGTGTGTGTGTGTGTGTGTGTGTGTGTGTGTGTGTGTGTGTGTGTGTGTGTGTGTGTGTGTGTGTGTCTGCTCTGTCTTCTCCATCCCCAGTGAGTCGTGGAGGATGGCTGCTTATACTGAGCCAGGATTCTCTGGAGGTTTCTTCTTGTTAAAAGGGAGTTTTCCTCTCCACTGTCGCTGCATGCTTGCTTAGTATGAGGATTGCTGTACAGACCGACACTAGTCAGTGACTTGATGTAATTTGCTGGGTTCCTTATATAGGAAACTTTTTTCTGATTGGCTTAATGAACTGACCTGTACTAGAAAGTTTACTGTGTGAAGCGCCTTGAGACGACTCTTGGCGTGATTTGGCGCTATAAAAATAAACTTGAATTGAACAAATGTTAAGATGTAAATCCAATTAGAACTGAATTTTACAAATTTAAACTCCACATTTATTAATAATTTAGCCATCTAGAACAAAGCAGCAGCTGCTGCTACCACTGTGGGCCAGCGGGGTCGCTAATTCACCACCTCGTAGCTGCCAGCCACCTACAAGAAAAATGTGACATCACTTGCCTCATCCAATCATTTAAAAAAGCATCAGTAAGCCTAGCTGCAAGCCAATCGTGTTACCATGGTGACTGGGAGGGCTTTCATCATAAAACTGATTTAGGGGGGAGTTAAACCGGAATTCTCAAAAGAAAGCCTGGTTTGGGGAAAATCTCGCTTTCTGGAATACCCCCCAGGTCTATGCCATGATAAAGAGCTGGCTGATGCTTTCAGTGTGTGTGTGTGTGTGTGTGTGTGTGTGTGTGTGTGTGTGTGTGTGTGTGTGTGTGTGTGTGTGTGTTTTAAACAAAAACATGCATCTGAAGTCTAAAAATACTCAGCCTGCTGTTTTGGAGCAGGGGTTCCCAAAATGTTGTCTTTGATAAGGTGGTGTGGTCAACAAGATTTCATTAGAAAAAATTACATTTATAAAATCCCAATAACACACCCTGCAGTATAATCAGAACTCCAGCCCTGTTCTAGAGCACTGTGTGTGATATTTGGAGCCAGATGCCCTGAGTTTCTGTGGGATGATGGCTTTTCTTTCATCAGCTGAAGATGGACACCGCCAAGCTGCAGCATGCTCCGTTTGGGCCAAACACCCGTTAAATCAGGCCGTTTGACATCATTCTAGGCTGTACACTGCTTATTTTGCTTTTCAGACTAAATCAAGTCCAAACGTCACACATGTTGAAGCTGCACCTTGGTGCTGCCGAGTCGTTCCTTGAGCTTGTCCAACCGGTCTGTTCCTCAACTCTTCTAAATCATGCCACGAATATTTAAAGAAATTCTCGTTTCTAACAAGTCAGGAAAAACCACACAACAGCTGACTAGACAAGTTTCCGTGACCACCCCGGAAGGACACATTCCTCACCTTTGGACTTTATGAGGTTACAACAATCAAACCATAATGCAATAAAAGAATAAACACGCTTGTGAGAAGCTGGTCACCTGAGGTCGTTTACAGAAAAGGTTTTTCCTGGAAACTCAACACGAGTTTCTTCTCTATAGTTTTGGTAATGTGGTCCAGGAATGTGCGCGCGCGCGCTCCTGCTGAGTAAATATTACTTCCTGGTTTAGGATTAACTCAGCTGATAAAACATTATCCGGTCAGAAGGAGGAGAGGTTTCTCGTAATCACACTTGATAGGACTTGTACTGCTGCCAGAAATAAAGTCTGTTATAGATCCGAACAGAACCGAAGTTCGTGTTCGTCCCAACATGACACCAGCGACAGAAAACCTTAAACATGGTTCAGCAGGAAGTGGGTTTATTATGAGGACTGCAGCTGACCAGTTTCATAAACACTCCTGGAACTGACAAAGTTTCCGGTACTCACGGTTCTGCATCGAGGCTCTCCACCGGAGCCACGTAGTTGGCCGGGATGTATCCCTGCTGGGAGGCGGAGACCCCGGTCAGGGCGCGAGCCACCCACCACTCACCGGGACTCTTATCCACCACCTCCAAATGGTCTCCGGCGTTAAAGCTCAGGTCCTGCTCGGTACGAGCGGAGTAATCATACAGGGCTACGTAGACCTCCCCACCGGGCTTCACCGGAGCCGGGGGGTCCGGTAACGGCCTGCTGGGGTACTTGGGCTCGCGCTCCTCTGAAGCAGAGAGGTTCTTAATAACCGTCCCATCTTTCTCTGATCTCTCCTCGTCCTCGGATGGTTTCCACTTCTTACAGCAGCACGATGCGATGCTGTGTAAGCACGAAGAAAGCATCTTCCGCATCTCCACGATTTCTGCTCCCGAATCCCAGTCAGAAGACACGCGGACACACACCTGCCAGGTAAACTCCTCTCACGCGCTCACGCGAGTCATGGGTTCATCTAAAGGGCTCCTCTTCAGCTCACAGCTGGACAACTCAGCTGTTCGCAAGTCAGAGTGACTCAAGTGAACTCAGGTGGAAATCACCTGCACCTGCTGAGGAATGGGGAGCGGCTGATGACGTCACTAGCTTGTCACCTGTCTCTTTCTCCAAAGATTTTAGCGCCTCACAAGGTATGCAGCTTGTAAATAAGTAATTTCTATTTATTCAGCACTCATCGCAGAACGAGATCCACAAAGTGCTTCAAAAAAATCAACAAAACAAAACAAAAGTCATTAAATAAAACTGATTAAAAAAAACAAAAAAGCAAATATCACGATTTTCCCAATTGGGAGCATGTATATAGTAAAAAGAATTGGTCCAAGCACTGAACCCTGTGGTACTCCAAAAGTGACCCTGGAGTATGAAGACGATTTGTCATGTACGTTTACAAAATGAAATCTGTCAGACAGGTAGGATTTAAACCAGCCTAGCGCTGTTCCTTTGATCCCTACAACATGTTCAAGTCTTTCTAAAAGAACATTGTGATCAACTGTGTCAAAGGCAGCACTGAGATCTAACAAGACTAGAACAGACACAAGATTCTTATCTGAGGCCATGAGAATATCATTTGTAACTCTCACTAATGCAGTTTCAGTGCTGTGATACTAAAGATAAATAAACTAATGACCTAAAGAGTTACAGACTGAATACACTGAGGGGCAGGAGGATAATAAGAATACCTAATCAAAATGAATGACACAATAAGGAGGGGAAACATGAAGAGGCATAGAAGACAGGAGCTCCACCTTCAGAGACTTCGACAAGAAACGTGACAGTGCCCCCCCCCCCCCCCCCTCCAAGGGCGGATACCAGATGCCCAAGGACCAAGCCCCCACAATGCGGCTCCTAAATTGAATCAAACCCGGAAGTACCATAAATTGCAGTTCCACCCTCATCCACTAGGGGCTGGTGTCAGAAGCGAGCAAATCCTCATTGACTCCCATGTTAAAAATACCAATTTCACAGCAGAAATAAACATGTTTACAGCCTGGTACCTAAACATGTTTTTGGTTTAAATGATCTAGTTTACACTCATGACAACTCTGAGGGGGGTGAATTTTTTCTCACTCTTCTGTTTAAGTGTATTAAAAGCCTAAAATTCTGTATAATTAATGAGCATCAGACCCACGTGACCACAGAGCTAGCTCCGTGGAAAGGCCTCAGTAGAGCCTCGGTCTGGCTTGGAAACTGCTCCAGGACTTTGAGTCTCTGTGTTTGTGTATTCTTTTTTGGATATTTTTTGTGCAATTGTTGAACAAAATGACTTGCTGTGGCATTAATTGCACTAATAGAGCGTCCAAGGAGTCTCCACTTCATTTTTTTTCTGTAAGTAAAATTATATTTATGTATTTTAGGTCACTGCCGAGCTGAGCTTAGATTTGAACATGTACTGTTTAACCATGAAATTTAACTGGTGTAAAGCCAATCTCCAATTCCAGCATTGCAGTCAAGCCAGCCTCCAGTTTGTTTTCTGTTCCCCGTCTATTCAAGTTATTACGGGAATGGATGTGGAAACTGGATTTCAAAATAAAATTCAACTTTGAATGAATTATCAGATATTTTAAGAACATAATAACAAATAATTTAGGCTTGTTCACTATTAGCGCCCTGTCAATATCAAGGCAATCTTTTTTTGGATTTCAAAGTAAAAGCCCTGTGAATTTTCATTTTTGAACTACTCTTTCAATGACTTCAGAATGCTCTTAAAAGCAAAAGTCATATTTCCAAAGAGTAGTTGCATTTTGTATCAACACTATCCAACCACAGCAATTAGAAATTGCCCATATTTGACCGACTCTTTTAACGAATTCAAAATGCTCTAAAATAGAAAGTTGCTGTTTCCACAGGGTAATTCCACTTTAGATCAACAGTATACAACCCCACATCTATGACACATTTAGATGCCAAGCTGTCACCAAACCCGGCAAGTCTAGTCCAATAATGAACCCCTAGGTTTTCCCTCCTCATTGTCAAAGGGTACTCACCTGTTTCAACCAGCAAAGCTGTAATTGATGTAGATCTAAAAGCTCCGCAACAGATTCTTAGGGCCTTAAACTGCACATAATCCAATTTACACAACACAGATTTAGAAGCTTTCCCAAAAAACACACATCCACAATCCAAAACGGGCCTAATCAGGGCCCTATAGATCAACTGTATAGTACTCCTCTCCGCTCCCCAGCTGCTACCTGATAAACTCCTCATGACATTAATTACCTTTTCACATTTGCTAACTAACCGTTCTATGTGTGTTGTCCAGAACAATTTCTCGTCCAACCACAAACCCAAAAACTTAAAAAACGTTAACTTTTTCAATCACAGAGCCATAAATATGAACATTCATAGACGGGATTTTCCTTTTTAAGCCAAAGATCATAAATTTACTTTTTACTATAGACAACTTGAATCCCGTTATTTGCCCACTGCACCATTTGATCTAAAGCTTTCCGAGTCTGAGAAAACCAATGCTTAAAATTCCTCCCACTTCTCCAGATGGCACCATCATCAGCAAGTAGAGATTTTCCAAACCTTTCATCAACTTTCTCAAAAATAGTATGAATCATTACATTAAACAAAACTGGACTTAAAACTGCCCCTTGCGGAGTACCGTTTTCTACTACCGCAGGTTCTGACAAAACATTCCCTACACTCACCTGAATCGATCCATCATTAAGAAAACTTTTAATCCAACGAAACATCCTACCATGAACTCCAGCATCATACAACTTAAGAAGTAAACCCTCTCTCCACATACTATCATAAGCCTTTTCAATATCTAAAAACACTGCAACAGCAGCTTTATCATAGCTCTCCTGATATCTCTGTCTAAAACTACTGAATCCATCGTACTTCTCCCCCCTCTAAATCCATTCTGATAATTAACAAAAAACCCACTCTTTTCTAAAAGTATACCAGTCTATGAGTCACCATCCTCTCCATCACCTTACACAGCACAGATGTCAAAGCTATAGAGCTCCGGACACCACGTGACTCTCAGTTAGTGGACGCCATTTTGGCATGCAAAAAAGGTAAACAAACATGGATGTAACCATGAACATGAACGGGATCCGCTTGGATTTTACTTCGTCTGAGTTTACTTCACACTTTAAAACAGAAGAAATCGTTTTATATAGTCAGAAATTAAATAGACTAAACATCTTCGACCCTTACCGTGCCCCTGGGATACTTTTTAAAAACGCCAGAAGCTGTCGGAGCGGACTTCTTACCGGCACAACACCGGACCTGACCGGGGAACCCCTTGGGATTCCCCCGGCCGGAGGAGCTGGGGAGGGGTCTGGGACTCTCGACTCTACTGCCCGCTCCGACGCCAAAAGCTGTCGGAGCGGACTTCTTCCCGGCACAACACCGGACCTGGCCGGGGGAACCCCTTGGGATTTACCCGGAGGAGCTGGCTCTGGCGGCTGGGGAGAGGGAAGTCACGCTACTGCCCCCACAACCCGACTCCGGATACGCGGATGAAAATGGATGGATGGATGGACAAATAACAGATTTACACGTAAGTAGTCTCGGTGAGACAGATAATAGCAATCCAAAGTGCTTTTTATGTGTGATCTGACAATTGATCAACCATTGCTTAAAAATTAAATACAGCTTAGCCGGTTAATTGCTGTGATCATAAAACACGTAAACGGCAGCACGCAGAACTCACGAGGCAACGTTTTACGTGACGTTTACTTGTTGCTATGAGTAATAAGACAGAAAAAGCCACGCCAAAATAAGTTTAGGAAGCCCACTAAGAATCGTAATAAAAGCATTTAAAATAAATACCATACACAGTTGAGGAAACGTTGGTTTAAGTACCTGATATGAAGCGGTCGCTGCATAAGTGAAAACCTTTACTCTCGGGATCCCACAGCTTCATTTTAGCCCGGTCACTAGCGCGTTTTATTACAATGATCCAACGTTTGCGGCGCTCCGGATCTTGGGGAATCCTGTAGATGGCTCATTCCTCATGTCGTCCGCGTCTGTTCTGCATCCTGGGGCACAACAGGAATCTACCATATTTCCCGTTTGATTGAGTTTTCTGACAATAACAAATAGTCCAGCTGCCGGCTTCTACCTGCCAATATGGCGCCATTTCGATTTGAACTGTTGCATGCCGGGAGAAGTGACGTCAACTCCCGGAGCTCTATTGGCCTGTAAGATGACCGAGAAGAGGGATCCTTTCCTGGCTTCACAAAAGGCACAACAACAGCATGCTTCCAGGATTTTGGCAAGACTCCTTCCTCCCAGACATGATTAAACAGCAGCGAAATTTCACACATTGTTTCTTCATCAAGATGTTAAAGCAACTTATAACAAATCCCATCCTGCCCATGCGTAGTATTAGCGCCTGCCTTAATAGCATCCTTCAACTCCTTGCAGGAGAAAAACAAGTTATACTCATTTTCCGTTCCTGCCGCTCCGGCCAGTTTAAAGACATTTCCTGACAACGTAACTTCTCGTAACTTTGGCACTTCTTCACCCAAGAACTCTGAGATATGAACCTCCTGAAAAACCTCAACACAAATGTCCGCTTTCTCTTTGCTATTAACAGCCGTCCTCTGCCCGTCACTAAGAACTGGCATTGCTGAACTCACAAATTTACCAGACATACGATGAATCCTCTTCCACAACTGTTGTACAGGAGTCTCTGGACCCAGAGTAAAACTTTCTGCAGCACGTCTTCTTTTCTGTTTTTATTGTTTTTCGTGCTATTGCCCTACATCTCTTAAAATCAATTACATTTTCCTGAGTGGTATGTTTACACATCTTAGCAAAAGCCAGCTTTCTTTTATTACTACAGTCTCACACTCTTTATTCCGCCAGGGAACAATAGCTCTACTTCCAGGATTCCTCCTATTGGGAATTGTCTCAGAAGCAACCTTCATCATCATCGCTGTTAAAGACTCACTCATTACATCCACTGTACTATCATCAATCTCTTCTACACCCACTGCTGTGCCCTCACTAAATCTAGGCCAGTCCGCCAGAGAGAAATTAAACCTGG